TTTTTTTTTTTTTTTTTTGCCAGTTTGTGCTTTGAATCATGACTTTTATTTTGCTCACTATGGTTATCTGGGAAATTATTTCTGTTTTGAATTTTTCTAGAGCCTGATTGATATGTTTTGTTACTTCCTGTGCTGAGTTCCAGGTGTTCTGGTGGTTCACTATCAGCCTTTTCATCCTCATTTGCCCTACTGTTTTCCATTGGGGAACTGGAAGTCTGTTCTTTGTGTCTTGCTTAAGTGTTTTCTCATCTTTACTTTTGTTGTTGGATTGTCCTTGGTTTAATTTTTGGGTTATTACTTATATCTTCCTGATAAAGTTGAGCTTTAGCTTTTGGGTCCCCAATCACTCATAGACATTCTCATTTTTATAATATCAGAGAAAACAGCTCATTAAATTAATAACAATCCTCTATCCCAATTGATACAGTCAGCAACACAATATGATCAAGCACAACTTGCAAACTGACCACTTGTGGTAGTCATTAGATTATCACCTTTAAGCCACATGAATTAAATTAAAATCAAGAAGCAGTCCAAAATATGTTTGCAGTAAATACACTTTTCAATATAGCATATTTATCATTTAGGATGGGGGCTTAAACAGAGTTAGGACAAGAGGAATAGATAAGTAAAAGAATTGGAGAAGGTTTCAAGTGAAGCCGAAGGACATAGAATGATCACACAATCTTTAGGAAACTGTTAAATTCAAAAGGATAAACAGAGAAGAAGTATAAGGACAAGAATATATCCCCTAACAGTAATAGGGGCTCACTTTCTCTTGAAACTATTGCCCCTTAAGTGAGGTTGAATGACAGAAGAAAAGAACATAAGGAAAAGAGAAAAAATGATAAAAGAAGAAATCTGAGTTAGGGCAGGAGCAGAAACAGAAAGGTAGATGAGGGATAATATGGTGGAGCAAGAGACTGAATTAGAGAAAGAGGACAGAAAAAGAATTTGCAGAATGGAATGAGGAAAAGAAAGAAAAAATGAATTTGAAGGGCCTCTTTCAGACTATATCTCTGCTGTCATAATACACAACATGCACAGCCATATGCAGAACCAAGTTCCCTGATTTCACCTAGCTGATAGCAGAACCCCACAACACAGACTGACCTCGGGCTGCAAGGCCTAGATTGAGTGCCAGACTTCCTGAAGGGTTGAACTCCACACAGTTCTACTACAAGTTTCCCCTGCCCTTTCTTTAAAGATGTTCAAAGTTGGGAGCTCAGAAAAATACCCTTTATGACCACCTCTGCCTCTACAGAGTGGGTCAAAGACTGGCACAATTAGGAGGTCTAAGAGTGTGGGGTGGGGTTCAAGGGGTTCAGGGGTACCCGCGTGGCTACCTTCCTGATGCTGGAGTGATGGCGGTGGCACCAGCAGGGGAGGGCATGTCTACCCATCCCACGGATTGGGCCCAAGCAGGCCTTCCTGGCACTGATGCAATGGTGGTAGTGCCCGCAGGGGAGCAATTGGTTTCTTCTTAATGGTGCTAATCTCTTCAGCAACAATACCTCATTTGATCTCAACTTTACACATGATTCTTCTAGAGACAAAATTTATTTTTCAAATACTCCTACTCTGCTTTCTTCCCCTGCCCACCACCATTCCCATGGTAAATCTGACTAAAAGCAGATCAGTAGTGTCCATGCTACAACCCGAATCTTGGGCTGTCCTGAAGTTTCTTCCACCCAATCTATTATTCTACTACCCTTAATCTCAGCCTCCAGCAAAGTCTGAGGTTTGGGAAAATATGTAGAAAAAATATTTTTGCTGAAATGTAACATGCGTGGCTTCTACTCCAACTTCCAAAGTATTCTCATTCCCAGCTGAAATCTCATGATCTTGCTTTTTACTCTCCATATTCCTGTGAGCATTCTCATATTCTGAGCTCTGACCAGAACTGGCCATAAAGCTCTGCTTACAACTTTCTAGGCTTTTTCCAACTCAAGTTTTCAAATTCCCCCAGCTCCTCCCACTAACCAGTTCCAAAGGCTTTTGAACTACATGGTCAGGTACAATCACAGCAATGGTCCCACTTCTCTGGTAGCAATTTTCTATATTAGTCCTCTTCCTTGTTGCTGATAGAAAATACTCAGTACTGTGCTCACTTCAACAGCACATATACTAAAATTGAAAATACTCAGTACCTACAGCTTAAAGGCAGAGAGGCTTATTTGGCTCATGGTTTCAAAGAATTGTTTCTATGGTCATCTGGCTACAAAGTCAAAAACATCATGGTGGAATGTTGTGGCAAAGCAAAAAAACATAGTGGCCGCAAGCAGGGTGAGATAAAAGTGCCAAGTAGGAAAGGGCAAAAAAACAGATATAGACCCCATGTTCATACCTTCATGATCCCCCCAGACACACTTAAAAGTGAGCTTCACTAATCCCCTGCATGGCTTCCAGGCCATTCACACTGACACTGCACCTCAACCACTCAAATCAACTGTGTCATAACAAAATACCTGAGGTAAACTACTTGTGAAGAAAAAGCTGGTTATTTAGCTCACAGTTTTGGGTGCTGGAAGTCTAAACAACATTGTATAGGCACTAGCAAGGCCCACCCTGCCCCAGCCATATTACCTCCTGACAGACAGCTATGGTGACATCCAGTGTGACATGAAAACTCCATCGTACTGGAAGAAGCAGAGAGATATGCAGTGGCCAGGGTCAAGTTCTTATAACAAGTCACACTCCCAGGAATTCACTCCATAGCATAGCATAGCATAGCCCTGAGGAACTCCTATCAGGCTTGTCAGCTCCCACCTCCACAGTGGGGAAAAACTCTCAGCGCATAGTCTTTCAGAGACAAGGCCCTTGAAAGCTATAACACTGGCCATAATGACAAGGGGACATGCAACTTAGGACAGTCATAAAGTTGACCACCACAGGACATGATGGTACTGCATTCCTATAATCCTGGCACT